CTCTGAATTTATAAGGTATAACAGTGGCCCAACGCTATTTTGTATTAAATTATGAAAGTGACTGCAGAAAAGATAACATATGCTTTTTTCCCATTCCTGCAGTATTTAGTGATAAAAATAAAAGGTATGTAAGTTTTAGTCATGAAGAACGAAATAAATTAATTGAATTGTTACTTAAGACACGGAAAGGTTGGATTCTTGCTCTAAGAAAAGGCGAGCTGAATGGAAAACAAATAGAAAATACAAGAATCTGTGAAAAGCATTTATTGTACACAAATCAGCGTAATGCTCAACTCACGACGACTGGGATTGCGATTCAGGCGTAACCTAACAAACTGCCGTGTATTATTTTGTTCTTTAAATCATCAGTTAGTAAAATATTAATAATTCAGAATAATGCCTGAAAATAAATATTATGTGAAATATATATTTTGTCACAGGCGGTACTTCGACTATAATGAAAATAAAAGTCAATTAGTATAGTGCACGAACAAACACTCAATGTTTAACTGCGGATATTTTCTCAGTGCAATAGAGTTAATGTACAAAATTATATAAATTTGAAAAGCTTATGGAATGAAAATTTTATACGAATTGGGCCCGTATAAGGACGATATCGTTTAACATTTTATAATTTGAAACTAATTAAAGTTGAAATTTAAATTTGATCCCCGAGTATGTGGCTATATTGCTGATGACGTCACAACTGATCATGCTTTATAGGTTTTACAGTATTGATCGCAAACATGGCAGCTGTTGCCTATGAAAATCTGTTATTTGGAACAATTCCAAATATAACAATCGGTGTATATCATCTCCCCAATTAGTCATTCCACTATAGGTAAGCTCTAAAACTGTCTCCTTGGAAGGTCGAATGTAACAATAAAGCGCTTTATTTAATTGGTTTGTGCCTGTTTAAATACTTGTAAGTAAATTACTGATTTTTATGCTTTTTTATGAACATATGAAGCAATTCACACTCTTATGTTTGCACCGTATGCATTGAATATTCCGTTCAATAATTTAACGATAAAGTGAAATTAGTAAGCGTCGGAGGATTACGAATGAAACCCATAAAGTAACATGAAGCAAACAAGGAAATCCATGAAATTTACCCGATAGCATTTAATGTACGCTACGATGGCTGCCTTTCACTCTAGAATTTAACGACTTGAGCATTTCGTGCCTACGACTACAGAACCCGCACATTTTACGGCACTTTGAGAATTAATGGATTTCATAAAATCATTACATCTTTCAAGATCCGCACTCGAATCCTTCTATTAGAGTATTCGTAAATTCACATTTTATTTCTTAACTGCGACATGTGGTTAACAATAATGCACATTAAATTAGTAGAGAATTGGGCAAATATTTGAACCAGTGATTAAAGTCACTCAAGAGCTCAAACATAGATATTAGCGGAGCATGAAACTGCAATAATACGCTCCAAGATTCGGCTTTCAACCTAATATAGTATAGGGAGTACACAAAGCAGATCCGATTTTCGGGTTAATGAGTGATTTGGGGAATATTCTATAAATTTGCCAGGAAATCGAGTAACTAGTTTCTACACTACTGCTAATTGAAGTGCATCTGCAATAGCTCATCGCTTTCGAACTGTTAATATTCATCTTTTTTAAGCCACTCTAATAATCTTGATTAATTACTGTGATACGGACTGGATGGAGTTTTCCAACAGACTAATTTCAGGTGGTAGTTTAATCAACAAATCTTTTAAGGCGTCTCACTGGAGACGGTCGATAAGAATATCTGACTCGGCATCTCTAATTGCAGGTCGCGTCAATATCGCGAGCGATGAGATGCGGAATAGTGATAGTCTGTGGCCGAAACGAGATCAATATAGGGTCGGCAGTTAATCCGCGCTTAATACGCGGAAAAAAGCTCCGAAGCAGTTCGGAATTCAATCAGCCAGAGCGGATCCGCGAGTATTTGGTCGGGTGAATCGACTATATAGTTTGGTGCGGGAGAGGGGGGGCAGCGGGTTCGCTCTCGCGTCAATAGTAATTAGCGCAAAAAGTTTGCGAAGCCAATCGGATCTGTTGGGAGAAGTGGCAGGAGGAGGGGATGCTATATCACTACTGTGTGCGATGCGTGCGGCGTTTCGCGTTCGCGTGGACTTCCTCTATTTTGAGATATATAGTCGCAGCTAGCACGCGCAAAGGATCTATTTTGAGCGATACGACACACAGCCACAACGGCACCGCGGGCTGCAATTTCGGACGCTCTATATTTGCACAATGCCGTACCGATCTACGCCCGCCCAGAAAAGGCCACAGTGAACCACTGGCAAAAAAACACCCATTGCCCCCTACCCTCTCCGATATTTACCCGCTCGATAAGGAAATGAGACCTAATGCACGCGGACGCGACATTAAACGCCTGCGAATCGCTTGCATTCCGGGCATTCTTCTCATTGTCTAGGCTCTTCGTCTCTGCTCCTCCGATAGTTCATTATTTTTGGACATTCCGATATAGACCTGTGCTGAAAAAGTGGCAAGTACCCTTAATTTACGAAGATTTTTATAATATTTTTTATATCCGAAAAGGTAATGTTGTCAAACAAGCGTTCAGGTGCCCTTGAGAGTTTGCACAGTAGGAAAGTTGCGAGCCCACCAAGGGCGTGCGAGCGCGAACGCACGAATTCATGCAATTTGCGTATATGAGTTGAATAACTGTGTACATAATGTGACGCAGCACATTGCGCACGCGACGTATAGTCAAGGGGTGCGAGAAAGCACTGGGCGACGCTTCTCCATCACGAGACTTTAATTAAAATTACGTACGTTCGCGCTTGTAGAGAGCTCTATGTGTCGTCGTCTCTCTCTCTCTCTCTCTCTCTCTCTCTCTCTCTTTCTTTTTTCGTTGCATATACAATTTTTATGAGCTTTTTATCATGCGTGCGTGAGCCGCATTTGAGGAAAAACAGCTTTGAAAAGCGTATAACTAGGCACTGTCTTTTTTTTATTATACTTTTTGTTAGCATTTAGTTGATTCGTGCCCCTTCTGTTGCGTATGAGAATGGCACTTGGCGTTATAATTCGAGAGATTTGTATAGCTTTTCCTCAACTTCACACGATTGCAGAGTTGTGTTGAATAACGAATACTGCACATTTTAATTAAACAGGTTTTTCTATAACTTTCTCCTCTGTATATTGAAATAATAATTAATTGGAATACGTGTTACTGTTTAGTATTTCCAGGAAGGCATTTTGCAGTTGAGAACTAATAACCAAGTGTATGAAGCGCTAGTTTTCGAATTGCGTTAGGAAGGGGAAGAAGCGCTTGAGCGTAAACTGCTCGCAAGTGCGTGTTCTCTTTTTTTTTTTTTTTGGATGTCTCGTGTGTTGCAAGAGTGGAGAAGCGGATAACGAGGGAATCGTCCTCGCGTATAATAATTTCTAAACATAAAAGTAAATAAAAAAAGAGAATAAAGAAGAAGAGGAAGAAAAAGAAGAAGAAGAAGAAGAAGAAGTGGAGAGCAAGGTAGGCGCTAATAAGTGCTTATGAGCATTGTGTATAGACGCACCTATGGGGTGTGAGACAACGCCGTTCGGCAATATCAAGAGTAAAAAAGAGCTTTTCGGTTCTGACATCTCATCCCCGCAGTCGGGTGTAGGGATATATCTCTTCTTAGCATCCTCTTTAGCTGGTGTGGTAGACGGGCGTTGTCGTTCACGGCTTTTCTCTCTCGTGCGCGCAGAGTTCATGCTCCGCGAGACTCGATAACGACAGCTGCCGCACGATTCCTTTTTCTACTTGCTCTCGCGAGAGAAAGAGAGAGAGAGGCAGGCGATATTCCGGAGAAAATAGCCTTGGATCCGCTTCGTCGCACAGATCCAGCTCTCTCTCGCTTCCGTGAATAATCATTCCTTTTATTTTTTTCCAAAATCAGACGTCTTCGAGCGCGCGCCGCTGACGCTCTTGAGATATCGCAAGCGCGAGAGAGGCCTCGGATTCGCCTCAGAGAGCGCTACCCGCGGTCATGCGTACCAGAGAGAGAGAGAGAGAGAGAGAGAGAGAGAGCACTCTCCAAGAGTGAAAGTTCGCTGCAATTGTTTTCTTTTGTCTTGCTCTCTCGATCCTTATTTCCCGTTCAAGCCGTTATCACCTTTTTTATTTGAAGAGCATTTCCGTTTTTCCGGTCTACGCATATGTCGAATCCATTTCTGATATTAAGTCAAAGTATATATATATATATATATATATATATATATATATATATATATATATTTATATATGATTTGATACCTTGGGAGCGCTGTTCACGTATCGCGGGAGGCGAATGAGTGAACTGTACAGTCACCGCAGCTACTGCAAAATGAATATGATGCTGTTCAAACAAGAATGAGGGAGTAAAATAGGGAGAGAGAGAGAGAGATAGCGAGATGGACGGAGTGCGATAGGCAAATCTCGTTTCGATCGTCGGATTGGCGCTCATTGTGTTACATTTGGGAGCTGGTCGCTGCTGCTTCCTCGATTCTCGGCTACTGGCCATGTCCAGTCGCCCGGACGATAGCTGCTGCACTCGCTGAATATGCAACATATAGCGCATCCATTATGAATATCCGTTCGATCGTCGTTGGTTCATCCATTCGCAAGCATCACGCGCTCCATGCATAAGTCCGACTCAACTCGCTCGGCATCGAATGCTCAGCGTTATTATTCCCTTGCTCAATGATTATCAATGCCCTTCCTCATCTCTCTCTCTCACTGTTCCTCTCGCTTCTCTGCTCCATGAAACGCGGCAAGCTTGATTGGATCCGTAGAGATTCAGTCAGTAAGAGCTTGCGGCGGATTTGTGTTTTTAGTAAAGCGTCGATAGATTAACTATACTTATATAACCGTCTTTTAAGAACCAGGTCAAAATTGGCATGCGAATGATGTCTATTCACGAGGAGAAATTAGTCGCATAGAGAAAGATGTGATTGGCATGTTTTGAGCTGTTGGTAATGATTGGACTGTTTGACGGTTCGCAGGTTTGCTGAAGGGCTCGGTGGCGGCGGCAGAGCGGCCGCGCACGCTGCGTCGGCTGCGCAACGTGTACTCGCCGGCGGGCACGGGAGGCTGCGGTTTGCCGATAGGCATCACCGGGGCCGAGCTCGCCGGCGAGCATCACGAGCTCAACAGTCAACAGCCGCAGCAACAGCAACAGTCACGAGCGACATCGGCTGAGCGCGACGAGAAGAGTCTCAGCATCATGAGTCCATTCGACGAGCAGGAGGAATGGGCTAAAATCTCGGAGATCATGGCCACTTTTGGCACCGGCCTCGTGCGCGAATCCGTCTTTGTCAGCGAGCTCGAGAAGGAGTTTCAAGCGAGGCTTGGTAAGTTTTCAATTTTGTATGGTCGGCTGCGAGCCTGCTGTTTCAACTATCTTGAACGTTGTTGAATTAGCGATGAAGTCTCGTTGGTGCGAATTATGGAACTCGTTAAAATTGCATTTTTTAATCGATGAATATAACTGACCCATCATTAAAAAGTCATCATTGGCCACAGCAAGAGTATTTGAAAAAAAAAAAAAAAAAAAATTCGAAAAAAGAACTCTCGTGGCTATAAACGTAAACTCAGATGCACGTGCACTCGAACAGCGGAGAATGCTGCTTGCGCACATTGGAGAAGTTTTCAGCTACTCGAAAAGTTGATGCACCAGTGAGCTCGGCCGGTACTCGAGCTCACAGGCTCTCCTCACAGCCAGTCTGTGCAATATACAGTATTTTTCTTGCTCTTTTTATCAATTTCGTTTTTACTGCGCTTGAGCCCTCTTGTACACGTTTGTTACACGGCCGCATTATCTCCCTTTCCTCCGTTCTGGCAAGCGCTCGAATGAACCTCTTCAATTTTTCAAGCTCTGCTTCTATTATAAAACATCGATTCTCTAATAACGCGCTAATTAGGCCACCATTTTTTAGCGCTTTTTGATTTTTTGGGCAAGAAAGCATTGGTTCGTTACTATTTTCCCTATAAAAATCTGGAATACATACATATGAATTATTTGAGCCGACACTTCATTAAAATAATTGCGTTTTCGATTGGCTTTGACTTTCAGGTCTGAACAGCAACAACGGTGGCAGCCCTTGTGTGCAAACGGTTATAGGCCAATGGTTGTCGAAACTCAATCTGTCCGACTATGAGTCGCTGTTTTTGAATTACGGATTCGACGACCTAGAATTTATCGTAAGTGTTAACGAAGCTAGATACAAACAATTACTCGTTTATCTCGGAAGCAAACTAACAGTCTTGAATATTTTTGACGTGCAGAATGGCATTCTCGAGGAATCCGATTTGAAAGAAATGGGCATAACAAGCGAGAAAGAACGCTTGGTGATTTTAGATGCAGTGAGTCTGCTGAACAATCGAGTAGAAAAACGTCCGGCAAACAATCCTAATCAGTCGGTCGACGATTGGCTCAAGTTGATACACTTGGACAACTACTCAGAATTGTTCAGGCGGCACCTGTACACGGACATGGACCGCGTGCGAAGGGTTTGGGAAGTCGAGTTAGCTGCGGTGCTCGAGATCCAAAAACCAGCCCACCGTAAGAGGATTCTTGCGTCAGTCAGTGGAGGCTGCTCGCCTCGAGGCGCTTCGCACGTACGCAACGGCAACGGGCCCAGTTTCGATGACCTCAACAAGGACCTCAATACCCTGGTAAGAGATCTTTTAGATCTTTCATTTCGTCTCTCCCGTGGCGTGTCATGTCTATTACTGCTACTCAAGATCATCCAAATAAAATTAATAGAGAGTGACGTGACAACAGCGCGAATGAGTGTCGATTGAAATTTAGAAGAACGTGCAGATGTAATGAGGGCTTGATGTGCAATTGATGAATGTTGGTAACAATCGGCGAATCAATGAAAGGAGCGTAGTGCAGGCCGAGTGCCATCCCCATGGTATATCGCATGAGCGCGCAAAATAGCGCGTCGTCACGAGGGCGTATCCGGGCGTCACATTATTGGGCTGCTCCGAAGCGTGACGTTTCGATGCCAACAATGCGTGCGTGTGCAAATGTGCGTGTTCCCTGTACGTTATGGGTATAAGCCTCTTGTACTTTCTGCTCGCGCTCCCTTCATCTGCTCTCTCGATAACAGTGAGAATGTATGAGCGCCGATCGACGTATAAATATTGCGGCTAATTTGCTCACTCGCTGTCTGCATTGCGAGGCTCGCACACACAAGCGTACGACGAGTAGTTTTTCAGGCGCCTCGTTCGAGCGGAGTCGAACCTTTTGTTTCGCACCTTTTTGCCACACCTGTCCTTTTGCTGCACCTGCTCTCGACTCGTCTGCACCTCTCACAGGCGCCTTTTCTCTCCCTTTCTCTCCACTTTCACGTTGTTTTTCATTCTATCGCGTTCCTCTAATTGGCTTAATAAGTTTTCACTCTTCTTTCTTTTTCCGATACCGCGAATTTCTTGCAATTTGCAAGGGCGTGCGGCGCTCGTATTAAAGAACTTTTTTTATCAAACCATACGCTTATTTTGCTTTCCTTTTCTCAATTTCTGACACTTAATTAGAGCCCACCTTTCTTTACGTGACAAGTTCTAGCTTTCAATTGAACTGGCTGATTTGTACATTCAGTGTTTCCAATCAATCGGTTTGTCACCATACAAAAATCCATTCGCTTGATTCTTCATACCGTTATAAATTGATTCATGCTTAATCGTTACGTTCGTAAATTGTGAGCGTTCATGTCAATTCCTAATGCTTAGTCATTGAGGCAAGTATGATTTTACTACGCTTTCACTTGCTTGAAAAATTACATCTGATAAGATTGCGGAAGTAGAATTAAAGTGTTGAAGGGCACAAAGGATTTATAACATCGCATAAAAGATGAATAACTTACTTTTCAGAAAACGAATATTCAGCAACTCAAAGAGGAAATCCGCGAAAAAATGCCGGAGCCAGTACAGAACAACGGCTTTCCGACCCCAACAACGACTACGAATACGAATACAAGTACGTCAACGGCTCCGACGACGGGCACAAATGCGAATACAACTGGTACGCTAAAACATCGAAAAAATAGACCTGCACCACCGCCACCTCAGAGACCAAATGCACCTCACAACGGTACCGTGACAGAGCACCTCGAAATACGAGGTCCCAACGAATTATTGTTTGGAGTACCGTCTACCCTTAAGACGCAGTGGAGGCACCAGCCTAAGGATCTAGTCACTGGCAGCGTGACCTACGTCGCCAATGTAAGTTCTTATGTGTGTGCTTGGTCGTTATTGAAAGGATTAGAATATTGGTTGATGTGCTTCTTTATGATTGTCTATTTAGTATTTGGGCTCAACGGTTGTGAAAGAACTAAGGGGCACTGAGTCGACCAAGATGTCGATACAAAAGCTGAAAAAGGCGAATCGGGATCCTAGACGTACTCCCGATATCACGCTTTCCATTTCGTACCGCGGCGTCCGATTCCTCAACACCCTTACCGACGTGAGTATACTTTGCCTCGCTTGTTCCTTTGTCGCGAGAGCCGAGCTAACAGGAATTTATGTGATCTGTAAGCATCTTTGTTGCTGTTTCAGGAACCAATATGTGACCACGAGATACGTAATATTCACTGCGCTTGTCAGGACGCCGACGATCTCACCCATTTTGCTTACATTACCAAAGACCACGCCAGTCGCACTCATTTTTGCCATGTTTTTTGCGTGCCAACTATGGTAAGCGCATCGTTAAACGAGACACTTCATTCGCGTGTACTTGACTGTGCTAACGCGAAAAACCTTCGCTCTGCGTTGCAGGACCAAGCCACCGAAATAATTCTGACGCTGGGTCAAGCTTTCGAGGTAGCGTACCAAATAGCCTTGAAGGACAAACTCGGCGGCCACGCAATCCGATCCCAGTCGGCTAACCAGCTGACGAGTCTCGCCGGCAGCAAGACAGCAACTTCACCGTCCCGGGAGACGAACGATCACCGTGCAGACGAGCACAACCACTGTCGGACGAGTACGAATCCCAGGCCAAAGACGCGCTCCAAGTCCACTAGCAATCCCTTTGCCAGCCCAACAATGCCCAGTCCCAATAAGACCACTAGCAGCTCCAATTCTCATACGACCTACAACAACTCGACAGCGATGACGACGTCGGTTACACCCGTGAAGCTACTGGCGACGCACGGGCGCTCGCACTCGGTCAATGAAATCAAGCTCAACGGCAGCCAGATGAAACCAGCGCCACTGCCCGTCGACGACATCAGCATCGGCGTACGGGATATGAAGGCTGGCTCGCGCGCACCCATCGCCCTTTCCGAAGAGTTCTAATGCGAGCCAGTGTCGTTCGTTCGTTCCCTTTTTATCGCGCGCCCTCTGTTAACGCGTCAACTGTAAATTGCAGGCTTGTACATATGAAGTTTAGCTAGTACATTGCGTTCTCGAGGTCGCGGGACCGGCTGAGCCAGTGATAATCGCCAACTTTCTCTTCGCGGATTTTCCTTCTTTTTTTATTTATTGTACAGCTCACACGGCACTGTGTTCCGCATCCCTATATTATATTTTATGTTTTTTTTTAAATTCACGTAATAAATACTATTTTCTATGATTTCCGCTTCTTCTTTATTTTATCGCTTGTACGGTGCATTTATTGGTTTTTGCGAAAGAGAATTCGTGTTCCTTAACTCGCTAATCGTATGCTGCTCGGTATTATACAATTATTCGCGCAATATATTAATGATCTGCATTCGATTGTTTGCACATATTTTGTTTGTTTTAAACATTTTATGACATTTCTACGGCGATTTCTAGTCATAAATATAGGCATCACCTGTTTAAAAACGTGTTAATCTGCAGATCAAGAACTAAAACTACTCGTAATTTTAACGAAAACTTCAAGACATATTTGTTCGATAACGTATACTTTAGGTCATGTGTATAAAATACCCGGCTTCACAGGTAAGTAGTAAGTCTTCTCAAAAAACGTTTCATTACTACAGTCACGACTGTAAGTAATAGTTCTAGTAATAACTTTTTCAAATCACTTTCATAGATATACCAGCATTTGCATTTCATAAGCGTCAACTTGACAGTGAACTGCGATTAATAATATCATAATCCGAGCAATAGTAATATTACCGACGCCAGGTTAATCATTCGACATTACATATACTTTTATAAAAATATTATTTGATAAGATAAACCAAAACGCATACATAACCTATAGCATCGGGCATAATATCAATTTTGATTCTACTAATTATCATTATCGAAAACATCAGTTTCTAATTTTTCGTCACAACGAATTTCATTTGAACGTTTTCATTACAAATTAACTTATTACAAAAACGGTCCTAATTATTTACGACAAATAATTATTAATTTTTTGCAAGTAAAAACATAATTTCACTTTACTAGCAAAATATGTCATTTTGCACGTTTGCGCGGTAATATTAACGTTGAGGTAGTTCACACGAAAGTATATTTTCAGTGTAATTACATTGATAATGTGATTAATAATAATAGAATGAAATTAATAAATTAAAACTACATAAATACAGCACGTCAACTTGTGTCAAAATGTCAACAATCTTGATAACTTACCTCATTTTTTAATTGATAACTTTTCTTACGAGCATTTACTAGAAATAATTTTTTTTTTAAGAAATTTACAATAATTTTTAATACTAACGCGTACTCGACAACAGAATTAAAAATTAAAAGCCAACAAATATTGATTGCCTTCAATGAAAAAATTTAATTAACTGATAAATAAATTTTATAATAATCAATGCTAGTGAAAGATAACTTGTGGTAATATTTCATGAATAAAAACGAAACTGTTTTTAATAATGTTTGGGGGCCTATATAACTTATTAAAGACTCAATAACTTTTTTTAGGCTTCAAAACCAACGTTTCGAAAAAAACTTTCCAAAATCTTTCAACAATATTATTATACAGATGGGATACAGACAGCTAAAATACTAAAAACAAATATCTTTCAATATTTCTAAATGAAAAGCTGAATTAATCATATGAACAGTATTACGAAGCTGAAGATACAATCAATTTTATTTACCGGAAATCTGTAACAAACATAGACGGGTTGGACGATGTAAAAATACTCGAGTTTGGACGCTAATAACTTATACGATTAGTATTGATAGTAATTGCGTTTATTACTAGAAATTGAAAAAAAAAGTAAGTCATAAGCTAACAAATGATTTTTTCGGATTCAGAATGAAAAAAGTAATAAATACAGCAGATATAATTTGAATTGTATAGTGGCATAAAGTAAATTATTTATCTCAAACAGAAATCTCTTGACTATTAATTCCTAAAAATTTTGAAGTAAGTTTAAAATTGAATCATCTAAAGTAAATATGCCTTTGAGATATTATTATGATAGAGCAAATTGATGATTGAACAAAAACTGAGAAAAAGTTTGGAATGTAGATATCCATTATAAGATAAACAAAGGAGTATTATAACAGAAAAATTCAAAAAACTTTACAAACAGAAAATAAAAACTGCCAAAAACTAACGTAAATAAAAGAAATATAACTATTCATATTTTCACACGCACGAATCATATTTTCATTAAAAATATAATTTTACCCAATGCAAGTAAAACTAGCATTGTAAACGCTGTTTGATTAACATTTTTCTATACATTGTAGAATGCTAGAAATTATTAAATTAAATAAATTATTGAAGTACGTTTTAATTATTTAATAAATTATTAAAATAAACGTGCATAATAAGGGATAACGTGTGATAATGTATATATTTTGAATTTTAAAACGAGCATGCAAACGTGATCGTTTAATTTCATTAACGGAAAATTGTTTGCATACATATATTATACAATCATATTGATTTCTGATATTTTTATAATTTTCATTTCATATATTAATATTATGGTTTACTAACGCGCACAAAATAATGATAATGTTGGACCAACGTACGAGAAAAGTATATAAAATGATTGTTGTTGCCCAAATTATGAAACAATGACTTTAAATACATGTCTAAATAACTGAACGCTTGTACTCGCTACAAGGATTGCAAAAATTATGCGACCTGTGCAATGATACGATTTAAATGTACTAATAATGCAAAATAATAAAAATTATTACATGTGTATGAAAATAGCTGATATTTACGGGATAAACTAAAAAAAAAACATTAAATGTATAGCTTTGGTCGTGAAGAATCAGTTCGAATAAACAATATTAAATCATGTACGGGTTGAATTGTCAAATTGTTTATTATAAATAAAATCGTACTATAAAGCTTCTATATACATTGTTAAAATTATAAAAAAATATAAGCATTCGCGATACCAAAAGTATTACTGAAATACATTCCATAAATTAAACGAACATTTTTTTCACATAAAATATACATATATATGGCCACAATAAACTTATGATTTTAATACTAAAACGATAATTCCGATAATTGTTTGATTCTTAATTGAAAGGTAAATATTTTTAGACGCTTTACTTTTTTATGCTCCTATGACTACTTATAACTTGCTATAAGTATTGTCAAATATAACATAGGTGTTACACGAGTGTGTAATGATTAAAAATATAAAATTGGAATAGAAAAACACTTAAATAAGAAATAAATAACACAGATTGGTTGCAATGATAACCGTTACGATTTTCGTATATTAAAAAAATGAAAATTGAAAGTTATATTGAATAATGACAAATTTCTTCGAATTAAAAATAATTTTTCAAAGTAGACCAAATGAGATTTACTTTGACTTAATTTACCCGTAAAAACAAGCACATATGATGTCTGCATCAGCGAATATTTATTTACTAACATCTCATATTTAAAAGAACGTAGATCTATCGCAGCTACGACACGCAATTACGAGTCATAGTTGAAATTTAATTTACTCTTTGAAGTCTCTGATATACATTCATTAGGAAGCATGTACTTCCACACATTCACATATTCACTCGTGCTGTATTCATACGCGTGTATAGATATTTGAGTGTAGGCATCATTAACGCGGCGTTCATGCGTCTATATACATCTCTTAATTTTACATACATGACTTGACTCAAAAGATTGAGTTGAAGTTCGCTAGATGCTACTCATCTTCAACTTTGTCAATCATCTTTCACGCGTGTCAATGACATTGCTCAATTCTTCTTTTTACTCTAAACTATTAGTCTTATAAAACTACTATGGACTGCAATACGATTTCTTGTTTTGATTATGTTGGTATTCACAATAATATGAAAAATAAAAAAGATTTTCTTGCTAGTCATGAGCTTATACTTCCAATATAGTATAACATTATGTAGTGATAAATCTTGATAAGATTGTTTGTTATATTGTTGTTAGTTTGTCTTAATTTATTTTCATACAATCATACCATATCATACTTCATCATAATCAAATCGTCATGCGGCATGTCATTCCTAATATCTGATCATACGCTTCTTCTATTATGTAGCTAAATAAACATATACATAGACGCCTATATAAGGATAATAGCGTATATATAACAAAAAATGAAATATAAAGAACGGAGGTTAAATGTACAAGTGAAATAACAGTCAAGTTTGCATTACAAAAATGTATCGAACTGATTCTGAAGAGTTTAAGGAGAAATTGATGTGATTACAAGTGCGAATACATCTATAATTGCAAAAACAATGTGTGCAAGTTTTAGCACTTCCTCGCGACTGCATTTACAGCATTTGCAATTCAAACAAAAGATGGGGGGAGGGGTCTGTATTTAACTCTCTTTCTGTAATTATCACAAGTTAAGAGTGTGCAAGTTACTTGTGCGCGTATGATTACTGCAAAATTCGTTCTTGGCTCTTTTCGCTTGATTCAAGCTTTTGAGTTGCTGCCACTCATAGTTAACATTCATTTCATATAGCTAAAGTATGCGCAATGCGTATACCATCGTATGAAAAACATGCAAAATGTGCTGTGTTCATCATGTATATACTTATAAATCCATTTATAGGGCATATATACACGGATACTTTAATCCGAAGTTTGTTACTCTGTAAGATAATGAATCCATTTCCGTAACGCTTACAACTTTGACTAGCTAGCCGATAACTTTTATACTTAAAAATACGAACTTTAATACGACGATGATGCTCATTTTAATCCTCGCTGATTCCGTAACCAGATTATCTTTCAATATTTTAATCATTAGCTTGCATACATAGATTTTGATACTACCATTTAATCTGTGAAATGTTGTTGATCATAAATGGTGCACTCGCAATTTATACGCTGCAACGATGAAGTCCAGAGATTTAGCGAGAATATACGAGTGATATTACGTTCTAACACCAAAGATTAAGACTATACTTTAATTAACGCATTTATCTCTTTTTATACGACGACCGGCTACGTCTTTTGGCATTTTTACACTATTTTGAAGAACAATAAGTAACCTCTTAGAATCAACGTAATGGATTGTTATGTAAGTTTTCTAATAATAAAAAAATACAATGAGATTGTGAACATAAATGCAATATTCAATAAGATGAACGACCCAATACTGTTGTAGTATCGTACGATAGTTTGCAAATAAATGCGCAACGCATATTTGCATGTATGCGCAAATTCGTGAATATTGAAACAGATATGTAGGTGTGAAAAGAGCCAAAATGAAATGGATGCATACAGGTCTTTGATAAACGATCGCGTGCAGGAATGTGCTTTCGATAGTACTTATAATAGTATATGTGAATTAATATATAAATAATAATAATAATAATAATAATAATAATAATAATAATAATAATATTAATAATAATAATAATAGGAATGATGATATATAAATAACGAAGGCAGGGTATCCATTTGTATACAGAAATTGTAATACGGGGTGTAACATTAAAAGCATCAGAGATGAAAGGCTCGTACACGCCCTTGCGCCCGTTCATCCTGATAGCTTTGATATCTCAACAGCGCAGCAATATATGAACGGACACCCTTCTTTATTATAATTCATTGCCATTGTAACACTTGAAAATGCTCGAAATCGTTTGCGCGCGCGTTTAACTGTAACTGGCGTAACAATAATATTCTCTTTATCTCTCGTGTAGCTTCAATGGATAATGAAATAGAAAAAGAGTTAGTAGGATATTCATGTTTAGCGTCGATTAAGAGTAATACATAGCTAAAATTAAATACGCAATCTCTGTGTTTTTTTGCCGCTGGAACGTCCTGAACTTACATATTTGCACGTTCTTTTGAACTTCAGCATATTCACACCATAATATTGTTTTCAACATTACAGCAAACATTTTTTTGAAAACATTCGTTACAGCACATGTTTAATTGGTATTTAATGAAATTCTTTTTCTTATACTCAAACCATTGATTGGTCATTAGATGTAATACAAATGATGACATAATTAGTGGTTCAAATTAATATCAGATAACCATAAGGCGTAACGTAAACAATTCGACAAAATTCCCTTTGGTTGTTTAGCGCACTCATGTATCAATCATTTCAAACAGTTGAAATTTTATTCGTACGAATATATTGCTCATCAGAACGATATGCTAATAATATGATTGATTCAGAGACTCTCGGCAAATTTCATATTATTTTATAAATGAAAAATAGGTACGAATATTACTCAGTTTCTTTAAAAACTGACAAATAAAAACTCGAATAGTATAGTAAAGTTAACGATAAATAATAATGGATAATAATCAAATCATCTTAACTTCGTTCTATTTGTATTGTATCTGAACTTTGACTGAATCTCACTTAGGGTTGTCAACAAATGATTTATATGTTTTTTTGGTTTTGATGTTCGTTAATAATGAATATTACATCTCATCAATCGCAAAGCTTCACCATTCATATCATTAATCACAAAACTCGGCTGCGCTAAATTATTATATATTGTTATTTCTTATATTGTTATGAGAAAAATAATTATAAAATTTTTATTCGAATTTTATTCTTAATAGATAATATAGTTTTGCGAATATAACTTTTTTTAATCAAATTATTCAGAGAAGTAAGAAATGCAGAGTTCTTGAAAAATTTAAGTGGTGTAAATAAGTAACGGTAAAAGAATGTGAATTGTAAAATAACAAAAAATATATGTTTTGATGCGTAATCATCTGATATAAATAATAATGACAAAAGAGGGTGCGAAAGAAGAGACAGAAAATGTATTTTCGAATTTATAGTTTATTTTTCATTAGCGTAGATGACAAATAATGATGATGACAAAAAAGTTTATTGTGAATTACCATTCTGATTGAACGGCTTATTCAAGATTTTCTTTTTTTATTTTAGAAGTCTCTATCTTCCATCCGCCTAAATTGAATAATTGTGAATGCACTAAGTGATTTGTTAAACCTATTTTCTTCTTCGAAAAGAAATAACTTGTATATCAAATATTATAATCTCGATGAAGTTAAACAAAATCACTACAGATTTAACAAAGGGATCTCTCGATCATTTCAAGCATTATCAAGATAAAATAAGCAACAGAATGGTGTATTATAAAGTAGGCAAAATGTAAGTGTTGATAAGCTGATTACGACTGAGTTCGACAAAATCTTTGTATTACTGTATGTGAACAATGTAAAACATATTTATATGTATTATAAATCATTCGTATTGTATTACTCAGGCTAGTGCAAAGAATTTTGTCGTCCTCGTTACAAACTGTATAGATATCAATAAAGGCAAAAAAGAAGAAAATATCGTTGATTATGATGAAAAAATCAAAAAAACCCATGAAAATGAATAAGCAAAATGAAATTGAATAACGTAATAAATAATCAAGGTAAGAGTAAGATTGACGAGAAGATAAGAAAGTGCTTATAAAAGGTGCGTAGATAAAGTATTATTCGCTGAAAGCTTGTAAAATCGGAGATATCATATTATATAAATGCTCTATATTTAAAAAACGCAGCCTCATCGCCATCAAATCATGCATACATACGCAGATTTTTTGAGTTCTTCTATAATTTATATTTATTATTGTTCATGTTTACTAGAAGTATATATAAATATATATATATATATATTATATCAGAGACTATTCCCTGGAATACCTATATAATGTCTACGTCTTATATAATAAAAATTATGAAAGGAATTCATAAAAGTGTTTTGACTTTTCTGCAGCCATTGGACCTTCCCACAACATACAGTCTCACACATCGATCTTTTTGCATCCTACGATTGCATTTTAAAAGACTACAATAATATTTTAATTTATAAGTTCATATTCCAATCACACTTTTATTTTCATATTTTATTAGAGTACGTTTTTTTGAATAGGTGGAGAATGATTGCATTCTTTAGATATTCTTCAGAGGTACGGATTTTGTAATGAAGGAGATTTGTTTCACAGAGTTATATAAACCTATTTTATCTTGTTTCAGTTGTGTTGCAGCTGATAGTTTGAAATACAATTATTTTTATTCAATCTTTGTTTGATTATGTTGATGGATAATTAACAAACAGCATACCAACAGTGAAATTAACTGATGTGGAAATCGTGGATAATGTAAAAAAAACGGAACTGAAGAGAAAGATGCGCAAATCCTTCTATAACCAGCCAAATAAGCTGACGCGTCGTCACGTACACGCTTTGGATTTTCCATCTTCATCTCAGGTTGAAAATAGAATAGAGAGGAGGAAAAAGACAAAAATCTTATGCGGGGTCGTTCGTGGCAAAGCACCCCTGACTTCCGCGCGGAACAAAAGAAATAAACGAGGGCGTGGTATGTGCGTGACGTTGTTATATAAGAGCGCGCAAACAAGCTCGCGGAAAAGACGATGACAAGGAGCTTTCGGCGCCTGGCGATTTCTCTGATAAATCGCTCCTCGTTTTTGTATGGATTTTCTCTCCGTTCTTCTTATGAGACTGTGAAAGAATACAAAACAGATATATGCTTTTCATTTTTAATATCACCAGAGTAGCATATTATAGAATTTCACTTCGGTCTAAAAAATTTGTTAGTCATATCGCAATTTTAGAAAGAATATCCACAGGTGTAGCTTTTCACAATCAATAAAATTGCGTAAAGCAAATTGGAAGTAAAAAAACGCTGTCAGCTTTTCTGGCGGTATGCATTCTTGGAGGTGTTTGTTTCGCTTATTTTACGGTCGCCAGTACGACAATACATTTTGAAGCTGCTGTCACAAGCCTTAAAACGATAAAAAAGTCATCCTTGATCGAAATTTATAGTATTTTTGCAAAATAGCTCTAAATGAATATTTTAATTTACTTTAAAAAATGTTGTAGAAAAAATTCTATAAACATTTTTCTAATCAACGAATTTGGTTAAAAATTATTTGCCCTCTATTTTCCAATATTTTAAACACGAGAACAAATATTTATAGGAATCTATTGAGTAGAAAGGTCATACCGATGGTCAGAACACATACATACTCACACGCAACCTCATGGATATACGTCATGAAAACACAACTTACGACACATGCAGGAATCTTAGATCTAACAAAAAAACCAAGATTGAAGCAAACATAACAAATATGAAAATGTATGGTGGAAAAAAAAAATTTTTTAAAAAGCGAAAGAACAGCTTCTTCTCCAAGGAAGTGAAATCAGTTTCGTATCCGAAGCGAGCGTACAGTAGGTATAGTGCGTTCACTACGGGAGCAAAAGATAAATTTTTCCAATATTTTAATGATGAAAGTTACGGCATCTTCATTCTATCTTGTCGATTTTCCATTGTTCTCGGTGGCTGCCGTTACGGTAATAATAAGGTCTCCTCGCTCGTACACAAGAGGCGTATCCTCGAGGGAGCGGGCGCGAGACGAGAAAATTCACGGATGCGATCGCCAAGGCGGGGGAGAGGATGGAGCTCTCTGTGCCCGAGCTGCGGCCGTATAACAATTTACCGGCTAATCGAAAAACTTTGTTAAGACTGAAACTTGGTTAATTAGCATCTTTGCTGGGGACTCGACAGCGCGCGCTTGCTTACCTTGCGGGCTGGTGCTGTAGCAAGGAAATGATTATTCAAAATACAAATAGCGCGCGGAAGAGTGCCTGTGGTGCACCGATGGCTAGCGCTTGCTTTTCTCCCGGTGCTTCGGCTGCTGCTTTATGTACACTTTGCCAACCGCGCGGCAAAAGCCCGCCTGGCTATACCATTGAAAACGGATAAATGTTTCACGGCACAGCCTCTATACGTCAGCAGTTGTGCTTTCTGATGTGCCTCTTGAATTATTAATTTTTAACGTTAACTTTGCTATTTGACCGTTGTACGCCATTAATGCCATACGAAATGATAATTGCCTTCTATTAACGAAAGCTTGTGATGAGCTTGCGTTAGAAGTAAACTGTGAAAAAATGCAACCAACACGATTTATTATCTTTGCAAACAGTTTTCATTGACATTTTAGCATTCGATCTGCAACATTGACGTTGATGCTACTGAGCTGAAACGTTTTTTTCTATTAAATAGATTTTCGAGAGCAAATTGATTTAACATTTTCAACTTATTTCATCAAAAAAGTGCGATGATTAGCATACTAGAACATGTCAGCTTGGCAATTTCATTAGTCTTGAATTTTTATGCACTATTTGACTTCAGAAAGCTCTACCGGCGTTAAAAGTTCAAGCGATTCGTAGAGTTAAAAATGGAAGTGAGGGTAATGCTATAATTTTTTGCAAAAATCACGAAAAATTACGTTTCTTTTTCGATGGGATTTACCCTTCCATGGACGAAAAACCGGATGTCCTAAGCATGCCACTCGACAGCTCCAATTTCTATCAAATTCTTTATGTTCTATGTACTGATAAAATCGAATGTGCAAGAGAATGCACACAATGCAGAAATTGAAACTTCTCGAATTAATATTTTCTTTACGAAATAGTAGCACTTGCATAAAGCAAATTGTAATTGGTAACTCACACGATAACGTGAAAATTTCATGAAATTCCTCGGAATGTAAATAAGATTCGCGTGAATTGAATGTTTGCATTCATAAATATCGGCACCATCTGCCATGTTTATTCGGGTGACAACACTTTTATGCCTCTAGGATACGGTGGTATTACTTGAACCATCACTTAAAATACAATGAGCTCTATAAATCTGTTTGTAAAGACGACTTGTGTCCTAAGTACACACAACTTGGCTCGGAACTCTTATTATTACTTTTTGTCTCGGATACGCTTGGGTCGGGAGAGAAGAAACGGCGTGCGGCAGAAAAAAAAGTGATGTAGGCCAGATCGGTGGTGGTGCGTCTGTGTGCGTGTTGTCGTTGACAATAAAATCGTCTCATTGTTACGGGGCGGATCAGGCACGTGGCTGCGGACGTTCCTCCTCGGTGGCGCGATCGTTCGTCCGTATAGCCATGCGTGAAGGCGACGGCCCTTAGGGCGGCGATCTGCGCGTTCGCCCAACCGTAAGTGTTGCAGACTCGATACGCATACAGACAGACAAGCGCACGCGCGAGCGTGTTACGTCGAAGGGATGCTTGCGTCGCGTACTGTCGGCGCTCATCGAAAAATACGTCTTGCTCGATATCTATCGCCAATAAATAACAAATTTACTTGATTGAGAGCTAGCATTCTCAACGATATTATTTACTCCTAAATAATATCGTTCACGTTAAGCTTTCACAGGAGTATTGTGGCGCAAATTAAAATATATACATTATTTTTTCGGAGTTTTAATATAACGAGCTATAACTGTGGTTTTTGTGCGCGACACAGTGAAAATACGGCATGAAAACGTCAGTCAGGATTAAAACGAAAAAAGCACGAGAGAAAAGCAGAAGTAGGGTATCGCCCCTCCATGTGCAGATCTAGATGTTATCTCGAAAAACCCATCCAATGCCTTTTTCTCTTCATTGTGCTTCCATCACTTAATTATCTGCCGACTTTCGAGGGCTTCAATAGTTTCACTTTATTCATTTTCGTTTCAATTTTCATAGCTCATACTCATTTTTTTTCTAAAGTTTTTATATTTTTAACGAGGAATAAATTTTAATTAGAAAGTAACTCTGATACTTTTGTAGCTCCACGTTTGCGGCACACTTTCAATTCAGCCCTATCGCAAAAAGACGAGCTTGTTGCTCTGCTCAGCCAATGTTTTGTTCCTTTCACCGCGATGCGAAAAAGTAGCCTGAAAATAATCACTCGTCTGAAGAGAAAGAGAGAAAAAGAAATAAAGAACCGAGCTGATCAATCGCAGAAACAGAATTTTTTTTTTGGAGCGCATAAAAAACGATACACAAGATAGAAGGGCAATGCAATATTCCGCCGGTGAGAAACTGTTTCTCTCCGCAGATAGGCATAGCGATGTTGAAGCTGGCGCTCGATCTATAGATGCGGCTAGTCGGCAAGTGATGTATAGATTGCAGTATAGCAGTGCCACAGCAAACTCTCATCCAATGGCTGAGTCTGCTACTCATCGATGATATTGGCAAGAGAGAGGGAGAGGAGTAACTCTGCCTCTCTGTCTGACGCGACCAGAGAGAGAGGGGCTATCGGATAATTAGTCGGTGATTACGTGGCAGTCATTCGGGCGGATATCGGCCCTCGCCCTCGCCCGACTCCTCCCCCGTTCCCTCTATTCACTCTCTCGGACTCTGCTGCAGCTGAGTCTGTCCGGCCCGCACTTGCTGCATCTCGTTACTGACGGCCAACGCACCGTTGACTAGCTCGCTCGCTCTCTCTCTCTCTTTCTCTCTCTCTCTCTCCGCTTTCGCGCATTATTGTGTCGTGCTTCTGCGGCACGTCGCAGCCTCTCTCTCCGCGCCATAGTTATCACTCCGTCAACGCTCGGTGCACGAAGAGCCACAGGCAGCCAAAGGACAGAGGGACGATGCACGCCTGAGCGAGACATCCCGCTTGGAGCCAGCCCGACAAACCTAATTATCATTCGATTCAAGGCAGCACGCAGAGATAGATTCGACCTACTCCTACCGCCATGTCGCAACGCGCTATCTTGCTACTGCTCGGCTTTATCCGCTTGTTATTGCATATTATCGTAGTGAGCAGATTCTCTCCAATGGATCACTCATCTCCAGAAGACACTAATTCATTGCGTACTTCAAAGAATTTTATTCTCTC